AGCTCCATCTCTTCCTCTTTCTTCCTTAACACCCCACACGTCCGCAATTCTGTTCCAACGAGCGCTAAAAAGGCTGGTGAGCGGCACTTATGCACCATTCTTTGCAAAACAACACTTGGAGGCTCCTGGGAAGGTAAAGACAGATGTTTAAGCAAAATGCTGAGCTTAACACTAGGATCTGGGAAAGGGGGACACTTGAGAATCTGGACATCGGTCCTGCAGGAGAAACTTTTGTGAGTGAGGTCAGTGAAAGTTGTAGTGATGATCATTTTGCAGAAGGGAGGCAGAACAGCTGGCAGCCATTGTAGCGATTTCACCTGGAAGACAAAAGAAGGATCTTTAGTTGTTTCAGATTTTAAAAAGGCTGCTCCGCTTTTCTTACTTATAGTTTTTGTCTTGTTTCTAGTCCAAAAATCTAAAAATATTTTGTTGTTTTCCATTAATAAGCCATCAAAATTATGTTAAACTAAAAAATTAAAGAAATAATAATATTTCTTTTGGAAACGGTGGCACAATGGGTAGCACAATAGCATCACAGCAAGAGGGTCACTGGTTCGAGCTTGGCTGGGTCAGTTGGCATTTCTCTTTGGAGTTTGCATGTTCTCCCTGTGCTGGCGTGGGTTTCCTCCTGGTGCTCCGAATTCCCCCACAAGCCCAAAAACATGTGCTGTAGATGAATTGGCTAAATTGTCTGTAGTGTATGTGTGTGAATGAGTGTGTATGGATGTTTTCCAGTGATGGGTTACAGCTGGAAGGGCATCCGCTGCGTAAAACATATGCTGGATAAGTTGGCGGTTCATTCCGCTGTGACAACCCCAGATTAATAAAGGGACTAAGCCGAAAAAAAAAAATGAATGAATAAATGAATATTATTTTCCTTAAAATAAGAAAAGGTATATGCCAATGGGGTGAGTATAACCTGCTTTCAATCTGAAAACAAAATTAGTTTGCTTTCCCCTAATTTTGACGACTTATTTCAGAAAACAAAACAATATTTTTTACTTTTCTAGAAAGCTTCTTGATTTAAGACAAACCTGTAAGTAACAAAAGCTTTTTTGCAGTGTGCTTAAGTAAACCATGCAGGAAAGGGAACTGAAGGATCACCTCTTGCTTTGAAAGTCCAAGTGTTTCTGTCAGAAGGTCAATCCCATCTATAAGAAGAATACAAGGCCTGAGATTCACAGCTGCAGTAAATGCCTGGACCGCCCGATGGAGATACTCAAACTCAGAAGTGTTCTCTAAACTTTCATCCCAATCTGGAGAATCACCTGCAGAAATAATTTACACTCTCTGAATAATGAGTTTATTATAGACTACAGTTTTCCATATTTTGTGATTCATGTTTTTTCTTTATGCTTTTGAACTGCATTATGAAACCTTGATCTTTCCCGCAACAACATTTGATTTTATTTTAAACAGTTTGAAAAGGTGACTTTTATTGCCTTTTTTATTTGGTTGTCTTGATTAGTATTAAAATTGTGGTAAAATAACCTGGCAATAAAAATACTAGTAAACTAGAAAAAAAACTGGTAAAAATGGTATTAAAACATCAAGAGTAGACAGAGCTAAAACAATGTCCCATAATGCAATTCATAACCCAAACAAAGTAAACAGAAAACATCTGTGACAAAACAAAATATAGAAACCGTTAACAAACTGATTTTTTTTACAGTGTACTACACTTTTTGAATGTTACTTTTGATGTTTAATATGGTATTTTCAAAGCTCTGCAAAATTTCAAGCATGCAAAATAAATGTTTTATAAATTAGTTATTGTCTCTTAAAAGAAAGCCACTATTCTGCACCTGATACTAGTCATTGATTTTTTTAGTTTTATTTCTTGCACAAACCTATTTGTAATAATTTAGCATAACGCCAGTCACGCTTTATTGACTGCTCACAAATAACATCTATTTTGACCCTCCAAACAGTGTAATTCTAGCTGAAGCCTGAACGAGTTTGGTTCTTTTATGAGGAAATGTCAAGATGACAATGTTTTCCTCACTCAGAATTAAAGAAAATCCACTTTGCATGCACTTTCAGATGGTTACTTTTTGTTTCAGACATGTGTTGTAAGTGGTTGATTAATCACAACAGACAGCCTTGATCGGACCAATCAGAACATTGTAGGGTCTCAAAGGAGAGGTTATGAGACAATAATATCTTGAACAAACCATTTCAGACACCAAAAAAAATAAGAGTTGATTGAAAAAAACACCATTCTGCTGGAAAATGAGGCATTTTACCATTATGTGCTTTTCGAAGTTGAGCAGTACACAGTCTAAGCAAGGATCTGACGTCAGTGCTGGATGTGCTGGTTCCACAGAAGTGACGGATGACTGGAAGATCTGGATTCTGCTCTGAAAAGGTTTGCAGGCACCAAGCTGCCAGAGTCGACTTCCCACATCCCCTTTCACCACTTATTACTAAGACAGACTTCTCAGAGTCGTTCAGGTCACTGAAAACAGGTAAGATTTGACTTCATATAGAGTTTAAGTCAGAATTATTAGTCCTCCTGTTAAATTTGAATTATATTTTTTCCACAATTTGTGTTTATTATGTGTTTTTTCACATTTCTAAACGTAATAATTTTAATAACTCATTTCTAATAAATTATTTATTTTATATTTGATTTGATGACAGTACATCATTTTGTCACTAGATATTTTTCAAGATACTAGTATTCAGCTTAAAGACTTCACTAGGTTACTTAGGTTAACTAGGAAAGTTAAGTAATCAGGCAAGTCATTGTGTAACAATGGCATGATGGAAAAAATATTGGGGGCTAATAATTTTTACCTTAAAATAGTTTATGAAAAAATTAAAACTGATTTTATTACAGCCAAAATAAAAGAAATAAGACTTTCTCCAGAAGAAAACATATTATAGGAAATACTGTAAAAATCTCCTTGCTCTGTTAAACATCATTCGGGAAACATTCAAAAATGGAACAAAATTCACAGGAGATTTAATGAATCTGACTTCATATGCTAATCAAACTGAGTGTGCACGATTTATATTGTTTTTATCGTCTTACCTATTGAAAAGAGCTCCTGGGTTTTTTGCATGTGTCTCATATTTAGCATTGTGGGTTACAGGATGTAGAAATTTGTCAAATGCATTCAATGTTTCTGTGGCTGGAACTGAGGGCACAAACCAGTTGCACAATGCACGTGAATAGCTCTTATGAGAATGCAGATCGAATGAATCCTGCCATCCTAAAATACAGGTACGAATACATACACATAATCAAAATAAAATACATATAATCATTATGACATATTATATTATTGATTTTTAAATATCATAAATGTAAAATGTATTAAAAATACAAAGGAAGAAGAGTAGAAAAAGAGATAATGCCCTTGTAGAAAATTAAAAAGTACATTCCCATAATTTATATTTGTATTTTTCATTTAACGGTCTCAAAATATGGTTAAACATCTGTAAAAATAAATTATTACAGCAAATTACATCTTATTTTGATCCGATTTTTTGTCATAGTGTAATAAAATCATATTAAAACTCCATTAAGTACTCCAAAATGTCCAGATTTGCAGACTTACCTGAGATTAAATGTTTTGAATCCTTAGAAATTTTACTAATGCCCTCTTCCCAGTCCTTCCTGATCATCTCCCCAAGTTCATACTGGTTTCTGAAAAATCTGTCATAAAGTTAAAAGGAGGAAATAAAGGTTGTGTATTTAAAACACCCAAGATAAAATAGATAATACACATTCAAGTTAATTTGTAAGACATTTTTGCCTATATCCTCAAACCTGACAGGAAGACAGTGATTTATGATTCTTCTTTTCAGATCTCTCAGTCTCTGTCTCTCACGTTGGCTTTGCTTGGACAGCATGTCTAAGAAGATGCTCATTTCTTCACTCCCATCATCATCATTATCATCATCATCATCATCATCTTCAGTATCCTGTGGTGTGTAGTCTTTAAAATAAAAGAAGCAGAGTCTATGGTTGTCAATGAAGGCTGCTTTGGTGATCTCCAGCTCTGTCAGGCTACATGTGCGATACTCATCCTCCAAAACCCAAGGGTAACCAGAACTTGCAGCAATATTTAGCTTTCTAACAACTTCAGATGAAGAACATGATTCGATATCAGGAAGACACTGTCCATAGCTGTGTCCAAGCAGACAAATGAAAAATGATGAGCGGTCTACGAGATCCAAACTGATTTTCAGCTGCTGGTCAAAGAGATCAGAGTCATTTTTATGATTATTTGCATCATCCCTGTCTTGTTTGCTCCTCTGCAAGTCCATAGGTCTGAAACAGGTTCCTCTTGTCTGACAAAGTGCATCTAGATGAGAAAATATATTGTATTTCAGGTAAAACAAATCTTCTTGGAGATCATCTGGAACATAACATAGGTAAGGCTGAAGAGACGGGCTGTCAACCTCTCCTTGGATGTTTAATCCATGCATTTTTTTTCAGAACTATTTTGAACTATTATTAACTAGATACTAGTTTCAGAAGTATTTATAGTTACATTAAACAACACAAATGCAAAAACACAAGTTAAATAAACAATAAAACATTATATTTATTCAACTACCAAACGTTTTAGGTTAAAAACTTGTCTTTGAAGTCTTTGAAGTGGTCAACAACTGGTTGCTAAGGTAAACGTAACTTAAATCTGATTCTGAATCGCCTAGTTACGTTTCCTCCCCATTCTGTTTAAAGCTGAAAACAAACCCACAACCGTTCCCAGAACAGTTTTACAGTCTATGACGAATCCTCATGTAAAACTCGCTCGATGAATTGACATCCCGTGAAGCCAATCAGCGCGAGCCACGAATAGAGCGTGTAGGATCGGACATGTAAGACGCTGATTGGGCGACGCCGACTGCGGATCGCTCTCTGGTTGGTGCGGTGTTGTGCGTGGGGTGCAGTGAATGGCTGAAAGCAGCAGAGCACCGCCCTAGAGCGCATGAGTTAATAAAGCCGACTTCTCTCTCCCTGTCCACGCACTGAAACACTTCATCGAGGCGTGGAGGGCTCTGCAAAAGCTCAAGGCGTTAATCTGCTATTGAGTCTCATTAATAAACCGTTTTTCTTTCAAAAACAATGAGGCGACTGTGGATTATCGGTCTCCTCTGTGCACTTTTGGCGTTCGGTGAGTAGATTTTAATAAACGGCCGTGAAATGCGCCGATTTGCATTATATTTGATGGCTTTGAACTTGACAGTGTTTGCTGTACTGTTGCCTTTGTGCGGTTCCTCTTTTTGCCATGTATGCTTTAAAATTTGAAGTAAACGTTTAAACAATGCTTCTTGTATAGCCATGCTAACGATTCCTAAATTTTGGAGTGATTTAGAACGGGAAATAAAACATGGAGAGTGAATTTGACTTGCATGTGCTTCTGGAAGTTTCCTTATTGAATTGGCCCTCTTATTATTATAATATGCTGCTTATCAATAATAGCTATATTGCGACAGGTTGAATTAAATCATTTGATCTTGTATTTAATGAAATATACGATTAATTAGTTACATAATATTGTTTGAGAACAATGCAATCTAATTTCACGTTCAAAGGAACCTGATATTTTGAAACATGTTTAATTGTCACATGATTTAACTCCTAATTTTAAAAACATCATCTGCACTGGTGTCCAAAGCATTTCTGTACATTTCATACATGTATATATGGAAGGCCTTTTCATCAAATATGACTTCACAATATAAACTTGCATATCAAGTAGAAGCAACCTTGTTGTGCATAATGGGGTTTTTGCCAAGCAAACCAGCTTAGAAACGAAGTCCTCAAACATTCATTCAAATAAAATTATGCCAAAGTGCAGCATTTATTATACTATTAGTTACTGGGTTCATTAAAGTGCTTTTTATCAACTCGCACCCTTTATTTGTGGTTTTGTCCTAATCTTTGATATTTTGCATAATTGCAGCATCTGTAAAAGCTGATGATGATGATGTTGACATTGATGGCACAGTAGAAGAGGACCTTGGGAAGAGCAGAGACGGATCCCGCACCGATGACGAGGTTGTTCAGAGGTTTGTATGCACTTGAACGTCGTTTTAAAGATCAAGGAGCAATAATTTTAATTATCCAAAATTAGTGACCTTTATTTAGGCTCAGATCTTGAAGTGGGGGTAAACGAATCCTTTAAGCTAATCTTAGCTGCTATTTTAAGCTTAATAAACCTCACTTGATTTCTTATGAGGGTACATTTGGATGTAGTCACTAAAAGCTCCTCATAAAGGCCAGAAATGATCCCCAGTGGGGCTAGACATCTGGTTTATCTATTTATGCATCTTATCAAAACCCAGGAGTAAATGGCAAATCCCAAGAGTATGGAATATGTGAAGCATCCCTTGCACTCATGTTTCTATCTCATCTCTAACAGGGAGGAGGAGGCCATTCAGCTAGATGGTTTAAACACCTCACAATTAAAGGAAATTCGTGATAAAGCAGAAAAGCATGCGTTCCAGGCAGAAGTGAATCGAATGATGAAACTGATCATCAATTCTCTTTATAAGAACAAAGAGGTGAGTGTTAGAAGTTTAAAGTTGTAGTTCATGTCTTTGCAAATTTTGCATAAGGTGTCCTAATTTTTACTTTTCCATCCTAAAGATCTTCCTGAGAGAGCTGATCTCTAATGCTTCCGATGCCTTGGATAAGATCCGGCTGCTGTCTCTGACCAATGAAGATGCCCTTGCCGGAAATGAAGAGCTCACTATTAAAATTAAGGTGCGTGTTGCCACCCTTCTGATCTGAAACCCTCTCCGTTTTACAGAGAAATATAACATTGGGTCTGAATTTGCATTGCAAAAGAAATTCAAATGCGCTTGAAGCAGACTGAGAAGCGTTTCCTTTCTTCCTTTCATTTTCTTATCTTAATTGTAAGACCGAAAGCTTTTAAACATGCAAATTTTCTTTTAGTAAATACATCCTTTACCTGCTTTTGAGATTACGCAATACTGGTCACGTATGCACTGCACATACTTGTTAGTGTGCTTTTTCTTAAATGAATAGGCAAAATATTGCGATCGGTCTCCTGACTTATTTTTAAGTACATAAACTGGATTGCTTATTGCTAATAATTCTTAAACATCAACTTAACGAAGAGAACATGGTAATGATTTTAAAAAAGCAATCAAAAAGAGCTCTTCTAAAATTCACTGCATGTGTGTGACTCTTCTCTCATCAGTCTGACAAAGAGAAGAATATGCTTCACATCACTGACACTGGTATTGGCATGACCAAAGAAGAGCTGGTGAAGAACCTTGGTACCATCGCCAAATCTGGAACCAGCGAGTTCCTGAACAAAATGACAGAGGTGCAGGACGACAGTCAGTCCACCTCTGAGCTGATCGGTCAGTTCGGTGTGGGCTTCTACTCCGCTTTCCTTGTGGCCGATAAGGTCATTGTCACTTCCAAGCACAACAACGACACCCAGCACATGTGGGAATCCGATTCCAATCAGTTCTCTGTCATCGAGGACCCACGTGGAGACACTCTAGGCAGAGGCACCACCATCACGTAAGCAGTTGAATGTGAAACAGGGCTGTACAATATTGGGGAAAAAAACTTGATAGTGTTGTGTGATTTTTAACCAGTTGAAATAAGTAGCTCTAATTGGAAAATTCATAATTATTGACCGATTAGGATGATTTTATAGGGAAGTGAATCTACATTACATATAATAAGCCAATCACAAGCATTGATGAATATAATAGAGCAAAGTTACAAATAAAAACACAGTGCTTTATGGTTTTCTCTGGGTTTTGTGTATATAAATACATTTAATATTTTTATTAATAAAAAAGACTTGACTTTTTGGATACTTTTTATGGTTAATTTGCAGTGACTTACGAAATCACGTGTTTTAAACTGGCTCCTGGTCAACTATACTCATGATCTTGCGATGTAACTAATAATAATGGTCATGTGTTTTGACCATTGCGATATTAAGGCTGTAACAATATATTTTACAGCCTTAATGTACAATATTGTAAACAAAAAAAATGGATTGCAACATTAAGATGACTTGTTTCTAAGCCTTAATGTAAAATATTATAAAAAAATATATATAGATTGCAACACTGTTAATAAGGTGACTTGTTTGTTAGGTTGGTGATGAAAGAGGAAGCTTCTGACTACCTTGAGCTGGAGACCATTAAGAACCTGGTGAAGAAATACTCCCAATTCATCAACTTCCCCATCTACGTATGGAGCAGCAAGGTCTGTTCACAAAAGACCCCAGACACTATAACATAACCAGATGCTGGACTTCTTAAACTCACTGATTTGTGTCATTTCCCAGACCGAGACCGTGGAAGAGCCTATTGAGGATGAGGCTGAGGCAGAGAAGGAAGAAGCCACTGAAGATGAAGCTGAAGTTGAGGAAGAGGAGGAAGACAAGGACAAACCAAAGACTAAGAAGGTTTTTAGATGGAGATATTCAACCCAACATTAGAAGTTATCCTATACTTTTTTTTCCAGTGAATTTTAATTAATATTTCTTGTTTTAGGTGGAGAAGACTGTGTGGGATTGGGAGCTGATGAATGACATTAAACCCATCTGGCAGAGACCTGCAAAGGAAGTGGAGGAAGATGAATATACAGCCTTCTATAAAACCTTCTCCAGGGTGAGTAAAACCTGTGTGTGGCACATAGTTAGCTTTTTATGGTCCACTGCGACCTCTGGATCGGTTCAATTGGATCGTTGTCATTTCAGGACACTGATGAGCCACTGTCACACATTCACTTCACCGCTGAAGGCGAAGTCACTTTCAAGTCCATCCTCTTTGTTCCTGCATCTGCACCCAGAGGTCTTTTCGACGAGTATGGCACCAAGAAGAATGACTTCATTAAGGTAATTTGTGAACATTAAGTGAGAAATGGGAACTTGTTTTTGGTACGAGTTGCTAATTAAACTTGTTTCATTTAGCTGTTCGTGCGTAGAGTCTTCATCACTGATGACTTCCATGACATGATGCCCAAGTACCTCAACTTCATCAAGGGTGTTGTAAGTGCCTGTCTTTCAGTTTAGCATTTCATTGGGCAATGCATAAAAATGCTAAATGTTCCATTTAGCCTGTGTATTGGCTTAAGTTGGCCCACATGGAATCTGTGTGCGTAGAACTCCGCAGATTTTTAGCCCATCGAGTCTATTTATGTACTTGTGTATGTATAATCATTCAGGTTTTTAATTAATTTCAGTAATATTGACCAATATAAAAGTGTTTGTTTTATTCACAATAGTTGTAAAGTAATATTTTCTGTCTTTTAGTAGAAATCTGAGAGACTTGCTTTAACCAAACAAGTAGATCTAGATGGATTTGCATTGTAAACATTAAATAAACGTTAACTGTTTCATTTCATGTATTAAGTTTTTTTAGGTATGATACTCCCAAAGTTATTCCCCATACATTTTTTTTTTTTTTTTTTTACAAAATTCTTAGCAGAAATGGCAAATGTCCGCTGATTCTGTCTGGCCCTACTTAAGTAAAGATCACTTCTATTTCAGCGGATTTCATGCGTTGCATTTTAATAATACTACAAGCTATAATTGTATGTAAATACTATAACAAGTGGACTAAATGGCATTTTCTCGCTATATATGGGATTTTTGTTTTTAAAATAAATTTTATGCTTAAGAGTTAAGATATTCCTAACAAAAGCGGGTGGTGTAATGAAGAAAAAAAAGCTGTATAAAATCTAAATCTTTAATTTGTTTTTGATTCATCTTGCTTAATTTGATCTTAGGTGGACTCTGACGATCTGCCTCTGAACGTGTCCAGAGAGACTCTGCAGCAACACAAACTGCTCAAGGTGAGTTTATACGTTTGCTTATCGAAGCAACATTAACTATGTAAAACGCAATGCAATACAACATGCAAATTTAAATAACTTTCAAAACTCATGACTGCCCCTTTTGTTCTTCAGGTTATCCGTAAAAAGCTGGTGCGCAAGACCCTGGATATGATCAAGAAGATCGCTGAGGAGCAGTACAACGATAAGTTCTGGAAAGAGTTTGGCACCAACATTAAGCTGGGTGTGATTGAGGATCACTCCAACAGAACCCGCCTGGCCAAACTGCTCCGCTTCCAGACCTCCCACAGCGACACCGTGCTGTCCAGTCTGGAGCAGTATGTGGAGAGGATGAAGGAGAAGCAGGACAAGATCTACTTCATGGCTGGAACAAGCAGGAAGGAGGTGCTTTAATGGTTTTTAAATCTCACCCATACTTGCTTAAGAACTCTTTCTGTATTCCAGTAGCAGCATGTAACATTTTGTCTTCTGGTTTTTAGGCTGAATCATCTCCATTTGTGGAGAAGCTTCTTAAGAAAGGATATGAAGTGGTCTATCTGACTGAACCAGTGGATGAGTACTGCATTCAGGCCCTTCCTGAGTTTGATGGCAAACGCTTCCAGAACGTGGCGAAGGAGGGTGTGAAGTTCGACGAGAGCGATAAGGCCAAGGAAAAGAGGGAAGCTTTGGAGAAAGAGTTTGAGCCCCTTACTACCTGGATGAAAGATAAGGCCCTGAAGGAACAAGTATGATTATTTTGTCATTACATCGTAGTGCATATTATAAAGTGGCAGATGAATTGTAACATGTGCTTCTGTTTCAGATCGAGAAGGCTGTTTTGTCCCAAAGGTTGACAAACTCTCCATGTGCTCTGGTTGCCAGTCAGTATGGATGGTCTGGAAACATGGAACGTATCATGAAAGCTCAGGCTTACCAGACAGGAAAAGACATTTCCACAAAGTACGTCTTTTGAACAAGTATTAGTATTAGACCCTCTTCCTAACTAAAATTTAATATGCATGGTCAAATCAAAAGGAGTCACCCAAGAGTCATTACCATTTTCAACTAGTGTACAAATAGGGTTCTCGTGACCCCCTTCTGTTTAGACTGCAAGCAAAGGAAAAATTCAGATGATGGCCATGATTGATCAATCTTTTTTTTTTTTTTTTTTTTTTTTTTTTTTTTTTTTTTTTTTTTTTTTGCAATTGTATAATTATGTACATGTATAAATTGTTTTGGTGCACATTTTCACAACCTATTATGTGCTTTCAAAAGTGGAAAACTGGAAATGCAAGCTTGTGAACAGCACTTTAACAAGTGAAATGCGGCTAAATTTAAAGTTATGCATTTGTTAAAACAATGTGAAGTAAATATTGCAGAAACGGGGCATTGAAATAAAGTGGGGAGTTGATTGCATTCTGCTACATTTTGGATATTTTATATTGAATGTAACCATGTTATGTGAAAATTGAAATTGTAACCACTATGACCATTATCCTAATTAAACCCATATTGTTCTTCATTCTAGTTATTACGCAAGCCAAAAGAAGACATTAGAAATCAACCCCAAACATCCACTCATCAAAGAGATGCTAAGGAGAGTCAACGTAAGTCAAGCGTTCTCATTTAGCCTAGCAAATTGTGCCTTCAATCTTATTTCAAATGGATATATTGTGCATTTTGTGTTGTAGGAAGATGCTGAGGATAAGACTGCCGCAGATTTAGCCGTAGTGCTGTTTGAGACCGCCACACTGCGATCAGGATACCAGCTCCAAGACACCAAAGCCTACGGAGAAAGAATAGAGCGCATGCTGCGGCTCAGCATGAATGTAGACCTTGACGCTCAGGTATGGATGTTCAAATCAAGCGTGACTAACGATTTTTTTTTTTTTTTTTTTTTTTTAAATTCTCAAAGTGTGCAGTAAACCTTTAGAATCATATCTAGATAGTAAGATCTATATTTGAGAAGAACACTGAGCAAGACGACAACTCTGGTCTGTAGAGATTTGCTTGCATTGCAGAGTGCACAGGGCCAAGAATAACATGAGAAGTATAACAGAACTCTTGTCATACATGTATGAGAAATATAAACTGGATCTTTTAGTAAGGGTAACATCCTAAGCTGGCCAAATGTGATTGAAATGTGAAAACCAGAAAGTAGGGGGGTGCAAACTCTATAAAGACTGTGTGGAATGGAAAAGCATCAGATTATTCTGAAGATCTGCTTGTGAAGATCTCTGCTTTTATGTAATAAGTCTATCTCCTGGTATCGGAAACATCCAGACTGAGCTTGATTTTATTAATGGAACTCCCAGAACCAGGACACTCAGAATCCTGTTGTTGCATCTACAGGTAGAGGAAGAGCCAGAGGAGGAACCAGAAGAACAGACAGAGGAAGCTGAGGATGAGGAGGAGGTCCAGGCAGATGAAGCAGAAGAGGAATCAGTGAGTGTCCTTCCAAACAAAAGTCTCTTTAGGAGCTGGAATTCTGCTCTTCATATATCTGAATATGTATGCTTCTCTGTGTTTCAGGAGGCCACATCCAAAGATGAGCTGTAATGTGTAAATTTGGAAGGGATGGGAAGGGGTGTCTGACTGTGATGCAGAGTGAAGATGGCGACGTCAACGCGGTTGTCTTTTCTCTGTGCGGGTGGGCTTGGGGGATAGGAGCTGTTTTTTTAAAGCGCTGCTTTTGTGTTTGCAATTTCTTTTTTTACATTCCTCCATGATTGTAAATTTGTTAATATTTAACTGACCCAGTTGTGGAGTGCTGACTCCTGTCCACAGAACGATTAAATGTTTCCGGAAAAGGATTTTTGTGTGCAATTTCTTTTAATTTGCATCTTCATGTTAACCAGTTCTATTAAATATAACATTTTAGGATATTTTAGCAGCATCGGTAGTGCTTTGTTTAAAGTCCAGTTTGAATTTAAAGGGATAGTTCACACACAGTTTACTCAATTTTTACACTTGTGCTTCCAAAGCTTTCTTCTGTTCCGCACAAAAGAATATTTTGAAGAGAGCTGAACCTGTAACCATTAACTTCCATAGTATCTGTTTGTCATGTGCAAGTCAATGGTTACAGATGGCAACATTTATCAAAATATCATCCTTTTGTTTTAAGGAAACTCTCCAGATTGAAACTCAAAGGATGAGTAACTTGACTCTTTGGTGATCTGTCCCTTTAAGGATTTTTCAGTCTAGGTCGTACCAGCGTGAATTTTCCTGTGGGGTCTGGAATATACCACTTTTCCCAGAGGTCTAGATGGACGCAGGGGTAGTCCCAGGGTTTGAATTGGCCGTTCCAGTGTAGTAGCTTTGCCTTTTTGAGGAATGTCTTGGGATAACGTGTATCAGGACTCCAGCCTAAAGAAAAACCCAAGCAGATGTTTCCTTTAATTCAATTGGCAGATGCTTTTATTCAAAGCTCACAAATGAGGTCTGGGAACTTTAACCTGTAGTTAAGTTTACAAGATTTACAAAATTTCTGAAAGGAGAAAAGAATTTCAGCAGACTAATAGGTAGATGGACCTTCATTTAGATTTCAACGTTAAGAATGACAGTGACTGTTAAATATTTTAGCATCAGTACTTGTCTAATATTTCAGAAATTATTCTAATATGCTGATTTGCTATTTTTATTATTATTTTTTTTTATTTTGTGCTGCAAAATAGCACATTTTAGAATTGAATAGACTAATAACAGAAATAATTTGAAGCACATGATTAGTTACAGACATTATAAAGGTTTATACTATAAAAATTGTATAAATTGAATGTCTTGTTAAATGGGGGGTTTTAATTTCAAAATTTAATTTAAAATGGTTTTTTTTTGTTTTTTTTGTTAAATTCTATAATAAAATATTGAAGTACTCTCAACTTTAAAAATGAGCATCCAAATGAAGGTTATATGTTAAACTTTTTAAATTTAATTAATTTAAATGTAGTTTATGTAGCATAATATATATCAGATTAACTTGTACAACATTAATTGGAGTTGGGGTTTTTTTTGTGAGATGTAGCATTCATTAAAAACAATTCATTACCCAGATGTCTGACGTGCCACAGTGGATCAATGGTTGTGAATTTATCATGAAAAACGATGAGCATTGGAGGAGTGGCCACACCACCTGCCACTGCACTGCTATATAGATTCTCCCTACAACCACATAAGAAAAGAAATTTAAGAAATCTCCAAAAATCTTTTATTGTAGCTCAATATGAACCAATATATCACCTGAAATTCTTAGCCATCCATTTCTCCAGCTGTTTGGTTATCTTTTGCCTTTGCCATTCACCAACGTCCGCCACAAAAACACCTGGATTAAAGGAGCATTCGCTGGGATTGATGCCCAGCTCTCGGACTTCCTCTTTGCGGTAGTCCAGAAAGCCCATATAAGTTGTCTGTAACAGGCGATTGTGTTTGAACAACACAAAAAAAGAAAGAAAAAAAAACAAGAAACATTAACTAAAGCAATTAACTACATTAAAAAATACTAACGCATACAGTTGATGTCTGAATTATTGTCCCCCCTGTACATTTTTTCCAATTTCTATTTAATGAAAAGGAGATTTAGTTGTAATTTTTTAGTTGTAATAACAGATTTGTTTTTTTTGCCATGATCACAGCACATAACATTTTACTAGATATATATGTTTTTTTTAATTAAGTCTGCTTTTATTCTAGCTGAAATAAAACAAGTAACACTTTTTCCAGAAGAAAATATATAATAGGAAATACTGTGAAAAACTTGCTCTGTTAAACATCATTTAAAAAGAAAACAATAATTTTGACTTCAGCTGTACTTTATATCCAGAAATACCTGCATCCCCACACTGCGCACCATCTCATGTGTATCGGGCAGATTGCAGTCTGAGGCAAATGCAGCAGCGTGACCCTCTTTCAGCTTTATGTTATACAGTTCCTGTATATCTCCTGGGTGTTCAAACACATCAAAAATCTGTCATTATAATCCATTTGTTCATTTATGATGTATGGAAATCTATATATAAATCTCAATAGCTTATTATGAGTCTGAACACATATTAAAGTAAATATTTGATCAAATCATGGTGTTGAATATCTCTGCATCCCAGGCACTAATAATTTAATCGTTTATTAAAGATGAATCACTGAGTGTCTGAGAATGATCATGGATATAAAAATTACCTCCATTATTTTTTATTTATTACTAGTCCCTTTTGTTTTTCACTTTTATAATCTGAGAAAAAAAATATTTAAACTAAAAATAAAATCAAATAATATTTAAAATATAAAAATATATAAAATAAAAACTCAATTATATAACTGAATATGATTAAACACTGAAACAGTAGAATTACAGCAATATTTTCTGTATAAATAATATTCTGTTTAATAAAGGTTTTTTTTTTTTTTTTTTTTTTTACTTTTTTTTATTCTTATTAGTACATTTTGGTTTTCACTTTTAACATCGGAGCATTTGGATTGTGATGTGTGATTCAGACATCATATCTTAATAAATGCACTTTATATACGAGATCATCCTTCCACAATCATACTGACGATGACGCTTTTGTATCAAACCAACAAGCATCAAGTTTACACCATTTTACCTTGAACTATGACATCATCATCCAGGTAAACTATCCGCTTGTGATTTTCAATAGCAAGAAGCGGAAGGTAGAACCTCACGAAGTTAAGCTGCAACACAAATAAAAAGGAGGAACAAGAAACAATATGGCACGGTTAAACCTTTAACAATCAGTCAATGTTTGCGTTAGAAAATGACACGTCAGTTTAGGGTGTACATCTTTGGTCATGTCATGTAATAGGTCATCACACCTAGTATACCAGAAATGATGAAGAGTTTACTTAAATTAGGCTTAAACTGTGGCTGTAAAAAGCAAGACTCACAGGATGCAGCAGTTCTGGTCGGGATGAGTCTGGGTGGACTTTTCCCTTCAGAACCATTGGATTGAATTCCAGGATCTTGTATCTGATATTTCTCAGCTTGGTTTTCTCTATGTATTCCCTGTTTGAGTGCAGGAAAAAATTGCTTATTGATGACATTTATCGACTGAGCATGTCTCTAATTTCTCTTATAGACACGTAAAGGGTGGATTGATTAAGGGTGGACATATTATACATTTCCAAATTCAACTATTGTAAGCTATACCACAAAAATTATAAAACAACTAATTAATATGAAGCTGAAATTAAATCAAATAAATATTAGATGAACTAATTAACAAATAAACCTAAATAATATTAGATGAACTAAATGAACAAAAATAATTTAAAGCAAAACTACTAATGGCAATCAAAAGTGTATTAATATAATGAATACAATATTAATAAACTATTATATTCACAATTTGACTGTGTATTTGGTTAAATTACATATATATTTGGTTAATTTATATATATTTTAAATGTGTAATTAAATAATATACTTAATTTATTATAATTAATAATATTTAATAACATTTCTACTGTAAACCATTTATTATATAATCAATTGCAAGGGTTTTTAAACTGTAAAAAAAGAAGAAAAAAGAAAGCAGAAGAACATGTTAAATGCAAATCAAATTCAAATAACCATAAAAAATAGGCAAATAAATAGGCTTAAATAGGAAATAGGAAAATTGTCCAATAAAACAATTCAGTACTATGACGCAAACGTTTTTATGGCAATACTTTCCAATTTTGTATGTATATTATACTATTTATTTATATATATATATATATATATATATATATATATATATATATATATATATATATATATATATATATTATATATATATATAATAATTTTTTGTTTAGTCAAAAAACAATTCAACCAAGTGTGTGAGGTTAAGGTTAATCCAGGCACCTTATTTTTTTAATGGCATCTCTTAGCGTGACTATGTAGAAGAAAACTCTGGCTTGACTGTTGCTGTAGACGCTGTTGATGACAGTCATCGATGCACCAATACGCTCTTCTGAAGCACAGATGAGCACAGGAACATCAGTCTCCACCTCTTTCTCATCCTTCGCACCTGTATCAGCCTCCTCTTTCTTAAGCACTGTATAAAGCACAATAAGATTAACATAACAAGCTGACAACATCCATATGCATGTGCATACATTAGTACCTGGATACTTGGGCAATGTCTGTAGTCTGGTCTTATTATACAGAAGAGCAAAAGCCACCAGAACCAGCAGAATGAGAAGGCCACGATTGACTGGCACACACAGAGATAGAGACAGAAAAATAAAAGTCATAACGTTGCAATTATTTAAAATTAAACAATGTCCACTAGAGGTCATTATAATACTATGTATGATTTTTGGGACTATCGGTGCATCACCAGTAAGTAAAAAAACAAACGTATCCATTTAATGAAAAGCTAATTTTTAAACTCATTCATTCATTTTCTTTTCTGCTTATTCCCTTTATTAATCTGGGGTCGCCACAGCGGAATGAACCACCAACTTACGCAGAGGATGCCCTTCTAGCTGCAACCCATCACTGGTAAACATCAATACACACTCATTCACACACATTCACTACGGACAATTTAGCTTACCCAATTCACCTATAGCACAACTCTTTGAACTTGTGGGGGAAACCGGAGAACCCTAAGGAAACCCACGCAAACACGGAGAGAACATGAAAACTCCACACTCCAACCAGCGACCTTCTTGCTGTGATGATGTGCTACCATAATTTTGTCAACTACTAACATGTCAGCTGTGTTTGCCATTGAAAACTTCATTTAAAACATTTCTGGGAAATTAAAATAGAATATAAATACAGATCAAAATCCTGAGCTTAAAAAATGAAATG